TGTCTAGGATACAGTTGCTGAGTATGTTCTAGGATATTGGTGGTATCGAAATCTTTGTAAGGCCCGTGGGTGGTAGCCTCTGGCACCAGGATATCTGGTACTGTATGGTGTTGTTATGATACTTTGAGTCTATATTATGTCAGTGTCAAATCCCCTGTATGTCCTTCGTTCGTCTCGCAGTTTATGTAAATTTGCTCAGCATTGGTTCAATATCACACTGCACCCACAGGGGTTTCCACGGCCTCAAGGTGATGCGGTTGTCCATTCTAATGAGATACATGTGTTGATAGACATAGTTCAATGTCTGAACACAGTTAGCGGTATATACTAGGTTGGACGCGAATGGGTTGAGAGATAGAGTGTCCCAGAATAGGTCGATTAACGGATTCATTACTAGATAACCATATGCTCGAGAGAGAATAGCCAGACTGTTCGGGATTTGTTGTGGTTACAGATAGCTCCTCTGGTGGCGCAGAAGTACATTACTGACTAGTAAGCAGAAGTCGCTCTATTCTTCCTTATCTTGTTCCATGCTGAGCGCTTTACTGACGCTAATCCGATCCCTAAGATAATAGAAACATAAGTCCCAAGTACCGCTCCTCCAGCTCCCCTTTTTCTTGTGTTTGACGTAGTTGTGATGAACTTTGCTGCACTCATGTTTAGCAACAGATTGAGGAAATACTAAAAATATTCAAGTCAATAAAATGTTTTCAATCATGTATTGGTTCATATCTGTGTTCTAACGTATTATTGTATTGTTTTGGTATTTTTACTATTCACACTCCTCATTCTGTTTGGAAATATAATATCCCTTTGCTAGGTATATTTTATTGATCTGAATTCATTCTGGGACTTAAAACTCTACATTTGTTAGATTATTCTTCTATAAATTTAGTGTAAAAATATGTTTAATAACTATTAATAGCAATTAAGAATCTGTGATTTCCATTCGTTATCTGCCCGAAAATGAAATTCTTATTTTATCATGTTTTTGTACAGTGGGAGGAAGTGTTGGTAACCTTTACAGATTTATGGATCAATGTGTATGATGAATCTAATTTAATTTCTTCGGTGAAACGGCAACACTTAACATTTTCACAGTCAGTCTGTATTGTCTTGTATTGATAGTATATGTCGGTATCCTCTTATTTCTAACATAAAAGATGTTTGAACTTATCATTATACAGATAAACATCAGTTACTACGATGATTGCAGTACAAATTTCATATTATACCTCATCAGCAGCTCCAGCCCTTGTATTACAAAACTGATTTAGCAAAATGCTGTTGCGTAGTTCTTATAACGTTGAATAAACGACTTGGGCACAGACTATTATATCAGCGGCCCTGAAGGATGAGGAAAAAGCCTCAACGGCCTCTACGTAGTAGTGACGTTAGGGCGGTGATATAATATAAATATTGTTATGAGTTTGTTGTGAGTGCTGTCGCTTTCGTGTTTACTGTTTGTGATGGCATTCCTCTCTCATTCGATTTGATTGTGTTTCTCCATCTCGCTTACGGTTAGATGCAGAGGTGAGTATTATCTTAAAGGAGATGAATTTGTACAGAAAGAGAGGGTATAGAGAGCTCGCGCTCTTCATCCCTCCTGAAGGTTTTGTGATTTTTTTGAATTCTACGAGCCTGTATTAATTCATGAATCCATTGAACAGTGCCGAGAGGGCGAAGTGTAGTCTACTTTGCTTACTGCAAGATTATATCTAAGGTCAGGAAAACTTTACTGATGAAAAACCATGCCACTTGCTCAGTACAGTCTAATAGATCATTGTTGCGTGCTCTCGGGAAGAAGATAGAACTCGGCTAATCGATGCGGACATGTGTGATGGTTAGAGGTGTAGTCTCTAGTCGCTTGGTCGGAGCGTGAAATGATTCATACTGTCAGGGGCAGCTGGGGGTCCTCTTCTCCTCCACGTATGTGTAAACTGCATAACTCTTGTAGTCTCGAACTAGTTTTCATGTCGTGAACTACCTACTTGACCACTGCTCTTCATAGCTCACGTGTATAGATATTGTATAGATTTGGAACTCTCATACCCTTAGACAATGTATGAGTTTAATTTCAGGAATGGAGATTTCAGTAGTCATGCTAGACATAATGACGACATATCTATTTGGATTCTTCAGGGAACGTTTTTTTCTACACATCCATATAAGAGAGTGTGTCAACATTATAAAATATCCATCTAGACGCTCATATAATAAATAGGTAACAAATGGTTGAAAACATGCGTATACGTTGATCGGAATATCAGTCGACTCAACAACTGTTTAGAACGCTCTTTCGTGGGTTATTATTACTTGTCACAGGAATACTTGAAAACCAACATATGAGATTGTCTTTGGGGCCACTGTTATTGGATCGCTGAATAATGGGATGGATTTATATGTAATATTAACAGTCAAACTGCTTTGGCCGATTCAAATCGACAGGTAAGGTGTATCGTGGGATCTCATTTGAACCCTGTCTGGGGTTCAATTTCTTGTATCTTACATCTTTATACCAATTACCAAACTGCATGGTATTCTGTTAGTTATGATAACTTATCCAAGAAAGTGGATATCTCTTTTTCAGCCTCTCCAGTCGTCGGCGAGATTTTGTTGGAGTATCATTGTGAATGTCTGGTTCTGTAACATTCATTGAAATCTGTTTGTTCTATATATCTGAACTCAAGAAAGCTCTATGTGTCCATCAGTGTAAATGATTCATATGCCTAAATATCGTTCATAATTTTTTATTAAGTTTTCTTGAGTGCTTATTCTTTGTTATTGTATTGTGCATTTAGTTCATTTTTTGTCTTTGTGTGTCTCTTTTTTGTCGAGGTCGGTGGGTCACTCGCTCACAGGTCGGACAGGTTTGGACCCCTGTGTATATGCTGCATTACTGTATAAGTATGAGAACGTAGCATCAAAATTCTGATAATAATATCTCAAACAAGTGAGGACAATATTTTACATATAAAGCAGAATAAACACGAGTTATAGATACATAAGATAAATTGTAAATTATGTATGCTGCCTGGATTAAGAAGTATTAATTAGTTGTTGTCAGCTTCTTTGTCTTGCTGGCTAGTATTTTGGTCTTATTAAGTAGATGCTTACCTGAAACAACTAGTCTTCTAAAAGGGAGGAAGCAGGATACTATATATTTGCATTTGTATTTCATGCATGCATGGAATCAAAGCAGAGTATTGTGATTTCGTCGTGGTATCATAACCCAAGACTCCATTCTGCTTACGTGTGGACATACCAGCGTATAGTTAAAATATGAGATGGCTGGTATGGATATACTTGTTCCTGTATTGTGATCAAATTGCATAGTGTAAGTGGCAGGCAGGGCACACGAGATGATAAAGTAACCGATTCCGCGACTTCATGTTAATAATGATTGTGATATTCGCATAATTGGAAACTGAAATAATCATCGCGATTCGTAAATTGCTGTGATGTAGAAGTTTACTGTTGTGTAACCTGTTGCAATAATCTCCTTGACTATGTAATTGATATGTCATGCAAAGGTAAAAGCCGGACAAATTAACATTCAACAAGAGCTTTCTTCTCCTATTACTCTATCTCTAATTTTTTTAAATTTTGTGTTTTAGAACTGTTATGTCGTGTCTACATGGACACACACGTTTAGGGTAGGATGTCTACTGTGTCACTTCTTATCTATCATCATCTCTTGTCAACAGAATCTCTAAATCATCCTAGTACTGTAATCACTGTGTGTCTCTCTCTGGATAGTAGTAAGTTGTTGTCTATGTGGGGCTTCTGTTTGTGCTACGGTGTTGGTTTGTGTTTGTGTGTGTGTTTGATGTGTTGTACTGCTAGTTCCATTCCAGTTCCGATGTAGGTCGATTTCTATGTGATGTGTGTTGATGTTGTGTGATATGCTGTGTGTGTGTGTGTAGTTCGTGTAGTTTGTGTGTAGTTGAATGTCTGTTGCGTGTGGTGCTTGCTGGCATACTGGTGTTGGTGTTTGGGGCTCGCTCTTCTATGTGTGTGTTGTGTTGTCCGTAGCTCGTGTGTCAGTTCGTCTCGTGTTGTACCGTTTTCTGATCGTTTGCTTGGTTTGTAGTTTTGTTCTTGTTAGATCCTCGCTCGCTCTCCCTCTCTCTCGTTCCGCCTTCGCCTCTTATGTGTTGTTGTGTGTGTGATGTCATGTTTTGTTAGGTCGTTTTACGATTGGTGTGATGTTGAGTTCTCGTGCTCTGTGGGCTAGATGTGGTGCTTGTTGGCGTTGCGTCCATAATCGCTGCTGTGTTCTATAGATGTGTATCGGTGCGTCAGGGTGTAATGATGGTGTGGCGTGATGTGAGTATGATGTGGTTCAGATTTGTGGGTCGTACTTGTGGTACGTTTTTAGTATGTGAGTACAGACGAGGAAAGACCAGCAGAACAAAACAGTACAGGGCATGAGTAGCTGACTAGCACATGCGTGTGAGACACTCAGGTGTGTCTGTCTGTGGTGTGTCCTTTATGATGTGACACACAAGACAGCAGACAGGAACACACACCATAGATAGCAATCGACCACAGACACACAGACAGGACAACACACCATAGACACACACACACACACACGACACACACAGACACCAGACCACAACTACACACACAGACACCTGATACAACACCATAGGACACAACAACACACACACACAGCACACAAACACACACACATGACACCCACACTAAACCACACTGTGTAGGTGCGTAGCTCCATTATCAATAACACACAGAAGACAAACCTACACCACACACACATATGTGCTGTATGCTCGCTACGATTTCATGTCATGATGTGCTAGCATCTACTGTACTAGCACACAGCATCATACAACAACATCAACAACAGAAACCTACTCGTACCACATACAGAGCATGTCGTCATGTCATTAGGATGCTTAGCAGCTAGGACACACACACATGGAGTCACACACACGCGTGTCGTACTTGGTGTGTAGACATACAGTGTACCACACACACAAACACATTATCCAAACGACAGACAACGCTTACACACCATACCACACATCACAACACACAGCACACAACACACAACACAACAACATAGACACACAGACAACTTACACAACACCCAAGCACCTGTTACACACACACACACACACACACACACACACACACACACACAGACACAGACACACACACACAGACACACACAGTGATTTATTTGATGTGATGGGTTGTGTTAAAGATTTATGATGAAGTACATGTCCTCCTGTGTTTTTCCATTTAGGAGCACACAACATTCAAAAACAAGAATTAATTGATAAATAAAAGCTTGTTGATTTTGTCGGCTTTTACCTTTCAGACATCAAAAATTCAGGGAAGAATAGAAAGAACTTTATTCATCATGAGATCGCGATTTGAGTTCAGATGTTGGTTCAAATTTAACATGAAGCTCTGTTGGTGATGTGAAGCCTGTTTCTACCACAGCATTGATCCCAAAGGAAAGTTTCATCAGCCATTATTACTTCTGTGTTCAAGTAGCAGTGAGTCAGGTCCTGGCACATAAAGCCTCTGCTTCATTTAAAATCAAATCTATGACGGCTTCCTGCTGAATATTTAAGCATTTAAAAGCCAGAAATACTCCACAGACAAGAAGTGACCATATTTCAGCTCCCAGTCAGCTGATTTTTATTAATAATGGGGTTATTTATATGATGATTACATAACCACAGCTGCAGAGACACAGGTCAATGAGAAAATGCTGCACAGCAAAACAAAAAAATGCCACCAGAACTAAAAAAATTTGAAGAAGTATGACGTCTGATCATTTACACTGATGACACTGAGCTTTCTTGAGTCCAGTATGCAGGTTCAATGTGTGAACTGACTCAAAATGAATCAAAATCAGCCGACTGGGAGCTAAAATATTTCCACTTCTGGTTTCAACATCCATTTTGTATTTTGAAAATGTCAGAAATGGATTCATGGTCAATAACCCACAAACCTTCTCCTGTATTGTCCAAAGCAGTTGCTGAAATATTACATTTAAATCCATCCATTATCACGTCCATATATGTGGTTCCATTCTGTACAAGTAAAACCGGGTTCACGTTGTTGAGTCGACTGTATTGTAAGTCGCTTTGTATAAAAGCGTCTGAATGAATAAATATAATGTGTGTTTGTTGTTCAGATGTCGTATTGTCAGCACATCGGGGTGGAGTTCATGTTCATCAACGACCTGGAGCAGTGTCAGTGGATCCGACAGAAGTTCGAGACTCCAGGAGTTATGCAGTTCACTCTGGAGGAGAAGAGGACTCTGCTGGCCCGTATGATCCGCTCCACCAGGTAAACACACCTCCACCTCCACCTGTGTGGGAGGAGTCTGAGGCTTCGAGGACACCAGACTGACTGACTGATGTGTGCAGGTTTGAGGAGTTCCTGCAGAAGAAGTGGTCTGCAGAGAAACGCTTCGGCCTGGAGGGCTGCGAGTCTCTGATCCCGGCTCTGAAAACCATCATCGATAAATCCTCTGAGAACGGCGTGGAGAACGTCATCATGGGCATGCCTCACAGGTAACACACAGCACACACTCACACACACTCTCACACTTTATATCCCGCCCTCTCTCACTGGTTGTTCTTCTTTCAGGGGGCGTCTGAATGTTCTGGCCAACGTGATCCGTAAAGAACTGGAACAGATTTTCTGTCAGTTTGACTCCAAGCTGGAAGCTGCTGATGAGGTATTTTTACTGATCTTAGTACTGATGTTATTACTGTTATATCTGTGTATACTGGGGTCCGAGCACCAAACACACACCGACTCAGACTGTCTGTGAATTTAATTCCTCACAAATTAAATTAAATCATCACATTGATTCATAAATCTTGTAAAGGTTGACAACACTTCCTCCCACTGTACAAAGATGAAGCTAGAATATCCAGATACAGCCGCTGCCACCACTAGAATAAAGATAAAGTAATAAAAACAACCTTATAGGACAGAAACCATCTTTGGGAAACATTTATTTGACTTTGATATTTTAGTTTGTCCCATCTGCTAACATGGAGGCAGCAGCTTTAAGAGCTACACTGCCGTCAGCCACCAGAGGGAGCTGGAGACGGTCATATTGTCTCTTTATGTGGGTGGTTAGCGTCAGTACCCTCAGCAGGAACATGAGTAGAGAGGTTCGCTTCCTGTCGTATTCTCTGTGGCCACCAGAGAGCTCTGAACCCAACTGACCCGCTGTGGGTTTCCTCCGCAGGGTTCTGGTGATGTGAAGTACCATCTGGGAATGTACCATCGTCGTATCAACCGTGTGACGGACAGGAACATCACCCTGTCTCTGATGGCCAACCCGTCTCACCTGGAGGCCGTGGACCCCGTGGTGCAGGGGAAGACCAAGGCTGAGCAGTTCTACTGCGGAGACACCGAAGGCAACAGGGTGAGACCGACAGACAGACTCTAGTTCTACAACCCGTACAGGACCAGACCGGAGTCACAACCACCTTAAATCATCAGAAACCAGAACCACCAGATCCTTGACACAGTCCTCTACAGACCGCAGAGTAAAGGAAGAACCCGGGTCGAGGTTTACTGAGACACTGTTGGGCTTTTATTTCACTCGCATGTCAGTTAGTATGAGAATCTAAAGGAGGTTCTAGGGGTTCTATAGCAGGTTTTAGGGTTCCTTTAGGTGGTTCTTGGGATCCTGTTAGTAGCTGTTGAGGTTCAAGTGGTCACTGAGGAGGTTCTTTAGCCTTTAGTCATCGATACTGTTTTTAGAGGTTATTTAGGATGTTTTATTGGTTATTAATGTTCTAAATCTGAGGTTCTCTTGGTCATTGAAGGGGTTCTACGGGTCTGTAAAGAGGTCCTTGTAATCTTTTAGGAGGTTCTATGGGGGCCTTCGGGGAACTTTAGGGTTCCTGTTGGAGGTTGAACATTGATTTGGGATTTTGGAGCAACGTGTTCGACGTGTGTTTTGGAAGAACGGTGTTCAACCTCCTGTAAACTGACTGTCTGTGTGTGTGTGT